CCCCAAAACCCCAAAACCCCAAAACCCCAATTTTAACAATGCATTAAAGAATATTTAAAACGAAGGTTATCCTTTAAAGATCGATGTAGAAAATAACATTAAGAATGTAGAGAGACTTTCCTTCATCAAGTTCATCCATGAAGTCACTGATGATGAGGCATACTTGACTTATAATATGCCATTAAAGACGAAAAATTAGCAAAAGATGGTAACTAAATACTGTAGAGGTACCTCTAAAACTCGTATTGGAAAGCGAAAGACACAAGAATCAATAGCTAGTAATGAATAAAGAGGTTTTAAATTAGCTCTTCATTGCTCTAAATTCACCCATAGCATGTCAATAATTTGACATTTTATTTAGCTTGCTTCATGAGTTTTTATTTCTCACTTTACTCATATTTTCCTCTCTTGAGGTGCTCCTTAGATACAACAAAAATAACTGAGAGGTCCTGAATAAACTCAGATAAAGAGAGCCAGTCAGTTCTAAATCCATCATTTCGGTTGCTTCACCTTTAAATTTATAAATCAAGAGAAGGAAAGTTTTTGATCGGAAATAATTTAAACATGTCAGCCAATCCAATTCTCAGAAATGAAGCTCAGAAGCAAATCCAAGGATCCAGAGAGCCAGATTGTCTCCAACCAGGGAGTTTAGGAATTCCTCTGCTGGCATAGTCACCATTGAAACTTCTGATGCTGATTTTATTATGAAGGAAATAAAAAATAGCCTATTTCTTAATTCTAAAATGCTCCATGCCGCTTTTCTAGCTGAGGGATCTTCAATTGGACGAGAACAGAAAAAGGAGTGTTAAAGACTTCTTGGATAGTAGGTATTACATAAAACCAGATGAACACCTTGCCAAAGATGCTAAATATTTCTCTGAAGCTTCATTCTCTCTTCAGGGTGATCAATATGCTAGTCAAGGTACATCATCTCAAAGATTTCTTTCTAATCCTGTTTTTAGGAAAGAAACCTCAAGGAGAGACTTTAGATTAGACCTTTGTAGAGGAGCCTCTAAAGGTCAGGCAAGATTGATGGCTGGCTCAGGACAAAAAACTGAAACTCAATAGCTCATTAAAGATCCAGTAGAAGGAGGTCATTGTCAGATCAGACTTTCAAGGCCAGAAGAGGAAGATCCAAATTTATTCGAATCTTTCTATACTGAAGAGAATGGATATGATAGCAGAACAGGAAAGTTTAAATATGGAGATCTCCATAAAACTCTTAAACTGCGACTGTCAAATTCCCTTATGAAACTCCAAATCACAAAAATTGGAGAGTTCTTGCACTGAAAATAATTATTGTCACCAAATTATAGAAATTAGTCTAGCCTCAATGAGAAAACTGAAGGATTACCTTTGCATTTCTTGGCAACATCACCCAGCATCTTCAAATAAGAACATCTTTGGAACTCAAATATCTTTCTCTGATCTATCATAGTGTCATCTCCCGTCTCTTCATGCGCGTATAGTAATTCGAAGAATTCCTCATGTAAAGCATCAATGCAATTTATAATTGTATGCTTCAAATATGTAGAATGGCTACATGATGATTTGTCCACTCCAGGTTTGAGGTTTAGAGTTCCTTCTGCTTGAGTCTCATCTTTGTCCTTGTAAAAATTGTACATGGACAAGTCATGATATTTTCTACAATCTAAAACTAATAAAAATAAAGCATTACCTTCTAATTTATCGCTTAGATAATTAATCCCATCCAGAAAATCTATTCTTCATTTCTCAAAGTTCTTTAACTCATCTATCATTGTCGCATCACCTGTCTCTGCATGATCAATTACTAACTTTGATATCAAAACATGTGCACATAAAATTCCTCTTTTTATTGATTTCTTTAAACATAAAGGATCTTGGCATGTTTCTCTGCTCATGGAAGGTTGGAGATCTTGACATTGTTCTGGCTGTTTATCCTCTTGTCTCTGGTAATACTCTTCCTTGTTCTCTTCATGTTTTATTTTAGAATCTAAAACTTTATCCTTGCTGAATACTTGCCTTTATTTGGTGTTTGTTTTGATAAAGCTCCCCTATCTTTATCATTTGAAAGTAATTTCCTTACTTTTAGCTCAGGAAGGGATGCACTATTTGGAATAGACGAGGATAAGATCTTCAATTCCTTCTGGAGTGGGAAGCTTTTTGGAATGATGTCTAGCCAAGATTGATTTGACTCAATATACGGTAAATCACTTAGAAATTTTTCCTGTGATTCTTTAGGGTTCAATGACAAAGATGAGTCACTATCATCGTTGTTATCTTTTTGAGGATAGGAAGTAAAGTAAAATGGGCGTTCTTTTTTGTACCTATTATCCTCGAGTTTCAATTTTACTGCAAATTCTTTTTCCATTTTCAATTTATTTGAAAATTGATGGGGTTTTGGGGTTTTGGGGTTTTGGGGTTTTGGGG